AGCCATTTTGAAATGTGCAGTGGGTGCATAACATAAAATTCAGTGCAGAAAGTGCCTCTGCAGACCATGCGGCAATAAGAAATTTTCCCGTTGAGTCACAGGAAATTATTTCTGAGGATGTCTACAAACCTGTGCAAGTTCTTAATGCCAATGAGACAGGTTTATTTTGGAAGAAGATGCTACCTACAATTGTTGTCAGAAAGCAGGAGAAAAGTGCACCAGGATTTAAGGAAGGGAAGAAACATTTCAACTTGTTTCTATGTCCTAATGCATCAAGTGATTTTTAAGTAAAGCCTATGCTTATTTATCACTCTCAGAAACCCCATTCTTTAGAAGGTAAAGGAAAGGAAAAACTAGTTTGCTTCTTGTTTTGTGGTCTAACAAGACACTGTAGATGAGCAAGAAACTGTTTATGAAGTGCTGCTTCAAAAGTTAGTTTATTCCTTCAGTCAAGATGTAACTAGCAAGGATGTGAACTCACATATGAAGGTAGTGATTTTATCATCAAATACGGCATCCCTGATAAAACCACTGGATCAAGAAGTGATTAAGATATTTCAATGCCATTACACATGCAGGAGTGATGCAGAAACTCCTTGTAGCAATAGATGACAACTCAAGATATTATAGTGCCAGAATTCTGGCATAAATTTACTTTACAAAGGCACTAACCAATGTAAAAGTTAAATGCAACAAAATGCCCTGATCAACAATAAATGCAGGCTTCAGAAAATTATGGCTAAATATTGTGAATACTGTCACAGGTTTTCCTCAATAGACAGTTAAGTCCAGGATATTGTAGATCTGGTGGGGTTTTGAAGATCTGCAGGCAGAAGACATAAATGAACTCCTAGAAGATGATGACAAAGAATAAACTGTAGTAAGTTGGTAAACAGCAACCACCCAGGGACGTACTACGATCCTGCCAAATGTGCGTGAAAAGGAAACCTGTATTTGTTTTACACAATGATAGGATTGCTGGTGTCTTCTCTTTCTGTCTCATAAATACGTAAGATAACAGGTACATACATCTTGCTACTTCTACTTACATTTAAGTCACATTACACATGCATGTACACTCTATGTATACATACTCATCAGAATTTTCGTCTATTTTCTTAACAGCTCTTGTCTTATTTATTTTTCTTTCATCTTCAAGGGGACGTGGAAAAGAATCCTTACTCTGTAAGCCATGACTGTCATAAAAAGTAACTAAAATGCTGGGAACAAGGGGCTAGTAACCCCTTCAGCTGTATATATTACTAAACATAAGAAGAAGAAAAGCTTTATAAAGATGGGATGTTTGAATGTGCATGGATGTAGTGCAGATGAAAAGAAAGAGATGATTGTCAGTGTTATGAATGAAAAGAAGCTGGATGCCCTGGCTCTAAGCAAAACAAAGCTGAAGGGTATAAGGGAGTTAAAGTGGGAAGAAATAAATAGGAAAGGTTGGAGGGAGGGTGGTAAAGGTTTTGTGAGTGTCGGGCTTAGACATCCAACAAGTATGTGTGTGTGTGTGTGTGTTAGATAGGAGTGAGTGAGGCAAGTGGTTTTTTAAGATCTGACATGCTGTTGAAGTGTGAGCGAAGTAACATGTATGAAAGGACTCAGAGAAAACTGGTTAGCCAGACTTGAGTCCAAGGGGTGGGAAGTACAGTGCTTGCACTCTGAAGGAGAGGTGGGGATATATGCAGTTTTGAAATGTACTATCTGCACCTCTCTGGCAAGACAGTGATGGGGGTGAATGATAGTGAAAGTGTATCTTCTTTTGTATCTTTTTTTTTTTCCTCCCTTACCACTCTCTTTACAGCATCACTCCACCAACCATTCCACTTCTCATCCTCTTATAACCACAAACTTTAGCTGCACACTGGCACTGACTTCTTCAGTTTACTCCATACCTCCTTGACCTCATTTCCTGTCCACTATCTAGCCCACCTTTCTCCGAGTAGTTGTTTATATCTTTCCCTATCTATATCCATTAATTCATTTACTTTTGCTTCTCTCTTACCCACTGATGTCATTCTCCTTGTACTCCATTTACCCTTTACTCTTATTGTAAATACCACTAAGAATATGCACATTTGCAAGTCTACCTATTAACATTTAATCTATTAATGCACAATCTAACTGCCATGATTGTGTAGTATGACATACCTCATTTACTTATATACCTTTTTTCCCTCAAAATAAGATTACCTATTACAAACCCTGACATGCACTCACTCATGCATGAATGCATGTGCGTGCATGCATGCATGCAAGCACACACACACACACACACACACACACACACACACACACACACATAGCTTTAAGCAGAGGTATGATAAAGCTCACGGTTCAGGGAGAGTGACCTAGTAGCGACCAGTGAAGAGGCGGGGCCAGGAACTTGGACTCGACCCCTGCAACCTCAAGTAGGTGAGTACAACTAGGTGAGTACACACACATAATTTTTTTTTCAACATGCCAACCGTCTCCCACCAAAGCAGGGTGACCCAAAAAAAGAAAGAAACAGTTTCACCATCATTCAATACTTTCACATCATTCACACATAATCACTGTCTTTGCAGAGGTACCCAGATATGAGAGTTCAGATGTCACTCCAAACAGCCAGTATCCCAAACCCCTCCTTTAAAGTGCAGGAATTATACTTCCCACCTCCAGGACTCAAGTTCGGCTAACCAGTTTCCCTGAATCCCTTCACAAAATATTACCCTGCTCACACTCCAACAGCTCGTTAGGTTCCAAAACCATTCATCTCTATTCACTTCTATCTAACAAGCTCACATATGCCTGCTGCATGTCCAGGCCCCTTGCACACAAAACCTCTTTTACCCCCTCCTAACCTTTCCTAGAATGACCCCTACCCCTTCTTCCCTCCATCCTCTCTAAATGACTAAACCACCTCAGTAACCCCTCTTCAACTGTCTGAATATCTGAATAATACATTTTGTAACTCCACACCCACACCTTCTAATTTCCACACTACGAATTCTCTGCATAATATTTACACCACACAATCCCCTTAGGCACAACCTCTTCATTGCCTCCAGTCTCCTCTTCAGAGCAGTATTTACAACCCATACTTCACACCCATATAAGTGTTGGTACCATTATACTCTTGTACATTCCCTTCTTTGCCTCCATAGATAACGTTTTTTTTTGTCTCCACAGATACCTTAACGCACCACTCACCTTTTCTCCTTCATCAATTCTATGGTTAACCTTGTCCTTCGTAAACCCATCTGCTGACAAATCCACTATAAAATATCTCAACACATTCACTTCCTCCATACTCCCTCCCTCCAATGTGATATCGGATTTTTCTTTACCTAACTCGTTTGATACCCTCATTACCTTATTCTTATCTATATTCACTTTCAACTTTCTTTACACACCCTCCCAAATTCATCCACTAACCTTTGCAACTTCTCTTTAGAATCTCCCAAAAGCACAGTATCATCAGCAAAAAGTAACTGTGACAACCCCCATTTTATATTTGATTCCCCATAATTTAATCTCACCCCTCCCCCCAACACTCTAACATTTAATTCTTTTACAACTCCATCTTTAAATATGTTAAACAACCATGGTGACATTACACATCCCTGTCTAAGGCCTACTTTTATTGGAAAGTAATCTCCCTCTCTCTCTCTCTCATATGCAGACATATAACATATATAAATGATATTGCTGTGGTGTAGAAAAAAAAAGAAACATTGCAAATCATGAGGCAGGGTCTGTCATGAGATCAGTTGAGCATGTTGAGTGAGTGTGAAAATTGCCCTCTAAGGAATAAATAAATAGTGCTTAAGACAGATGGACAAAATAAAGGTCAGTGCAAAGTAGAGAAATCACTGTAAAATATAGTAAGTAGTGAAAAATAATGAAAATTAAGAAAATCAGAAGACTGAAGTCCTGATTTTCAGGTTCACAGAGAAGAAAGAAAGAGCCAAGACACCATGTGGCATGAGAGACTGTCTACCACTTGAGTACCAAGCAGTGTTTCAGTAAGAATGTCAGGAGAGAGCCGGTAACCCCCTATGAAGAGGATTGCCAACCATTAGTTTGCTGGACAAGGTAGAAGGACAGAAAAATAAGAGGTAACAAAGATGAAGACAATTTGATGTCATGTACTGAAATTTTGTGAGACATAAGGCACTGCAGGAGGCACCACTGAACAAGCTTCTTTTGAAACCTGTGAAAGATAAGTGCACTGAGACAGGAAATTGATGGTCAGAAGGAAAAAAAGGAGAACCAGAACAGAAGGAAAGTATACCAAATAAAGTTAGAACGAGCAAGAAATGGGAAATCTCAAGGGAATACGAGATGATTTCAAGGGATGTTGGAGAGAGACTCAAAGACTGCACCATTATGACCTTCAAATATAGAGAGATTTGCAAACCAAATTGGATGAGATAGAACAAGAGCGAGGCAATAAAAAACTTTACTGCAAGAGATAAGAACATCAAGAGCAATGGAAGAGATTCAGGGTTTTGTTATAGTAAGAGTATACAAGGAGGGCAAGAAGGGAAATATAAACACATATGCAGTATAATGTGATCTTTTATTGACTACGTTTCGCCCACACAGTGGGCTTTTTCAAGTCACACACAGAACTACTTGACTTGAAAAAGCCCACTGTGTGGGCAAAACGTTGTCAATAAAAGATCACATTATACTGCATATGTGTTTATATTTCCATTGTGTCGGTATTTTATACCATTTATTTCCATCCAGGGCAAGAAGGGGCTGGTTTGCATCAAACTGTATATATTGTACATAAACCTTAATGTTTATCCCTGAGGCTGTTTGAGTACTAATTTTTTCCCTACTACCTCCTTTATTTTTTGTGTGATTTATTATTTGAATGGACACAGTTCAACTACATAAAGTAAATAATATTTGAAAAAGCTAAGGCAAAACTACAATAAAATATTATAAAAGTTTAAAAATCTTAAAAACCAACTAACAGGAAGCAAGCTCTTTATAGTTACCCTGGTATGCTCTTTGATTCTCTTCTTCCTCTTCAGCACTCTCAGCTTCCTGTAAAAGTGAATAAAATGCATATAAAATTAACATCAATGATAAACATGAGGCACAAGACAAGCCATTAATCTCAAGTAAAGATGAATATTGTAGTTTCTATACAATAATAACACAATTAGAAGAAGCAAAACATGTTAAGTAGGAACCCCTTTAGATTAAGCCACCCATAGGAATAACTGCTGTGAAAATAGAGAAGGCAATGTCCTTTTTTATTATTGTTTGCACACACACACACACACACACACATACACACACACACACACACACACACACACACACACACACACACATACACACACACACACACACACACACACATAAACACATAACACAGAAACAAGGGGTTACAATTGGAAGTTGAAGATTCAGATGAGTCAAGGTATGATAAAGCTCATGGAGCAGGGAGAGGGAGGACCTAGTAGCAGTCAGTAAAGAGGCAGGGCCAGGAGCTGAGTCTCAACCCCTGCAACCACAATTAGTTGAGTACACACAGACACACACACACACACACACACACACACAGAGTACATCCCTCACAGATTAAGCATTGTTTGGTGTGATTAGTGGAGGTAACAAGGCAGCAGTTTCAATCTCTGGTATGGGCATCTCCATACACTCAGGTCTTCTGTCTTGGAAAAGCTATATAAATACCCAAGCAAACTACAACTGTGACAAGATAGTGTTTCATTTATTTTTTAAATTATCTTCAATACATGACACTTTTTAATAGTGGCAATATTGCATCAATTTTTTTTAAGTACTTCTACCCTTCAGGAAGGTTTTCTTGAAGCTGGTGAAGGACTCTTGCTCCAAGGAATTGGAGCGACCCTCTCTTCCCTCAGATCAAACCTGATTATTTCTTTCCCAAAGTGATGTTTGATCCCTGTGGGTTTAGCTCTTCCTTATGATTATAATAATTTAAATACTTTTAGCTTTGTTCCTTTAAAAATGTATGTTTTACTCTTAATTAGCTTGAGAGTTTTTAAGAGATTTTGAGGCAATAATATTAAGCTTAACTTACTTTCATCATGTCTTGTTCATCATATGACACATCTAAGGATACATCTCGATTAAGAGTAGCATCCCGTGATGGACCAAGCTCATCCCTGAAGGCTTCAAAACCAGACTGGTCTAGATGTGCCTTAGCCATTGCTCTTTCAATATCGTCTGTGACCAGTTCTACGTTGAATATACACTGATTCACAATATCATCACGTCCAATCTTTCGCAGGCCTTTTTCCAGTGTGTTTCCATTTGCCTATATGCAGACAAATAAAATTAATTAATGTAAAAATAATTTTACTGTCAAATTATGAAATAAATTTTAAACAAAATGAACACACATATAAACAGAAAATGTAAAATAGAAAATTACAAATACACACAATATCTGTAACTATTTACCCAAATAGGTAAATACAATTTTCATGGAGTGGAGCATACATGTCAAGAAAGGATAAAAACTGTAAAAAGAGAAGGAGAGTAACAAATAATTAAACTGACACCTAACCTTTCATTTTCAGTAATAAAACTTGTTAGTATGACTTGCAACTAGGAGATTCACATGTATTAGAAAAACAAAGACCAGCATTTTAAATGTTTCATAAGCTATGTTAAAAATTATCTAAATGAAATGCCTCAAAAGCAATTATACAGTTCCTCCTAAAACTACTGGAGTGTAGGTCTTCTCATTGTCACTTCTAATACATCAATCATATGCACACCATACTTTCTTTCATACTCACTATAGTCTTGGCCTTCCCTTCCTCACTGATACTTAAACTCGATATATTTTGTCTTCCTTTAGAGTGTCCTTGAGGTTTATCATCCTTTCGTTGACTTGGTTTCAGATCAGGTTTCTTAACTAATTGTCTGATCAATATGTCAGTTGGTTGGACAGTTAATAATTAATTTTAAATCTCATAACCATCTATCAATCTATGAATTACAGCCTTTTGCACTCCCAGTGAGACAATTATGACTCTTCAAATTGTTTTTCATGATTCTATCCACATGCACATCTGCTGCTTTCCACTTTACATTTTAACTTCTACACTAATTCTCTTACATTTACCAAGGTTACACATTCCAGTATTGTGTGTTTCAGTCTAGAGAGTACAAAGGTCTTAAAGACCATCATTAGCTTTGCATCACTGATTGTGAAGATTCTTTTAATTCAGCTTATCATTTTCCATGCAGTTATAATAGTAATAAATCATCCTACATCATTACCCCTAAATCCTTAATAATCCCCTTCTATTGTTTTGACCAGTTGAGGTGTTATACTCATTCATTTTTTTTTTTTTTGTGATAAAGTGAACAGGTCCAAATCATGACTAATTTCTGCTCAGTCTATATTTATAAGACCCCTAATTAAATTTGCTCCCTAAATTAGTATCACTTGTGACTTTTTTATATTGGTGAGCATAACTTGTTGATGTCATACATATATACCTTAACCATAAGAACATAAGAAAGAAGGAACACTGCAACAGGTCTACTGACCCATGCAGAGCAGGTCCATGTCCCCCCCAGATTAGCCCAATGACCCCCCCCAGATTAGCCCAATGACCCACCCAGTCTGGTCACCTCCACTCAAGGAAGGAGCACGGCACCAGACCCAGCAGCACAAGCTAGTCAGGTCCAACTCACACCAACCCACACCCACTCATGTATTTATTTAACCTATTTTTAAAGCTACACAACGTTTTAGCCTGAATAACTGTACTTCGGAGTTTGTTCCACTCATCCACAACTCTATTACCAAACCAGTGCTTTCCTATATCCTTCCTGAATCTGAATTTTTCCAACTTGAAACCATTGCTGCGAGTCCTTCTTGGCTGGAAATTTTCAGCACGCTATTTACATCCCCTTAATTTATTCCTGTTTTCCATTTATACACCTTGATCATATCCCCCGAATTCTATGCCTTTCAAGAGAGTGCAGATTCAGGGCCCTCAGTCTATCCTCATAGGGAAGATTTCTGATACATGGGATCATCTTTGTCATCCTCCTCTGTACGTTTTCCAGAGCATTTACATCCATTCTGTAATATAGTGACCAGAACTGAGCAGCATAGTCTAAATGAGGCCTAACCAAGGATATATAGAGTTGAAGAACAACCTGAGGACTTCTACTATTTATATCAAGAACAGAACCAGTCCCAATGAACAGAACCAGTCCCAATGCTAGCCCCTGCAGTACACTTTATTATCTCTAATCACTTTAATGAATTTCCTTTAAGTATTACCCACCACTGTGGTAAATATCCATCTATACTGTTTACCTTTGCATTTGAAAATTTGAAAGAAGTCCCTGGAACATTATCAAAAGCTTTCTGAAAATGTAGATTATATCATATCTCCCACATTCTTTTCATCATACATTTTAGGGTAAATATAATCACTTTCTTCAGAAGTCATGAAGTGACTTAATTAATTAATTTGTGGCTTTCTTAATACTGCACTGTGTGATCTCAGATTGTTATGTTACTGAGTTTATAAACTATGCTGATTGGTCAATAATTACCAGGAAAGAATTAATTTCCCATTTACAAAGTTTAAATTTAAGTTCTGCATAACTATTCCAATTTCACTGAATTTATTAAAAATATGGCAAAAATTTAACTATAATTCATCTTTGACTTCTTTAATATACTTGGATAAAATTTGTCAGGATCAACTAATTTTTAAAATTTAGGGCATATAATCATAAGTGTGTGGCCACACACTATGTATCACCATTATAATGTGATCACGTTATCACAACCTTATCTTGACATTAATGTATCACCTATCACAGTCAATCAATAAAGTTACAACAATCTCACTCTGCAATTTAATCTAGAAAGCAATTTTAATGTTCATGCCTATCAGAAGATAAGTGATCAATCAGTTACACAAACAACATATATCAATCTACTGTACTTATAAATGAAAAATTACTGTGCAATCAATAGCTTCAAATAGGGAAGTTTTTTTTAGCTAGAATAATATAGAAAACCTTTTCTTCCGGATGACTAAATGGTATGCAGATGATGGATCTACTATCTCAATGGATACTATCTTTGAAGCTCACACATAAAAATAAAAACCATTACTTTGCATTTTTCACAAACAACATAAAAATTAAAACTATTTAAAAAATGTAAGTAAATGATTTCTTTGTCTTGATTAGTCAACAGTTGAACTCATACCTTATTTCCAGATGTTTGCATCCAGAGCCTAAGCATAACAATGGCCTGCTGAGGAGCATTATCTGGATACTGTGACTTGATTATATTGATGTCTGAATCACTAATTTCTAGCTCGTGTGCAAGAGCAACCCAGTCTGTGCCCAACATATTTGATATGTCAGTGAGACGAAGATCAGCTTTATGGATGGTGTCAGCTTTGCCTAATGGGAGCAGAAATGCAATGATAAATAAGAATATGTCAATTTATGCCAAGGTTAATAAATTTTAACTCTATAGTGTTTGCTCATTGGAATACTGAAGGGATTCAAACATGCTTCTAGTATGTTAAAGATTGGCCCATTTTAAGACATTTTTTATTCTTGTGATTTTTTCTGTATCTTTGATTTCTTTTTATGAATTTTTGAAAGTGTATCCAAACAGTCATTATACCTTCTTACAAGCAATTGTGAAAGATTGGGAAACACACACTCCCAGGTCTAGAACTACACTGGTTCACATCTCTACTCGCCCAGCTTTGGGAAAAGTTCGGGCTATCTGATTGGTTATTTGAGGATGACGAAAAGTTCCTCTTTTTGCTCACAAAAATTTTAACAATTTCCTGTGCAGTGATTAATCTCCAGAAAGGCTTAAATTAGGCTTAATAGCCTCTCCTGTATGGGGCAGCAGAACACTAAAGGGGTTAATATTTTAGCCTCAGCTTAGCTGTCTACATTTAAAATACCCAAAGATTCTCAATGAAAGCCAATCTTGTATCATTAAATCAGATATTAAGTATATTTTCATATAATTTACAGTATGTGAATAGTAATAACTGTATCTATCTGTAGTTACAGGAGCAGAACTATGCTTATACTATCTCATCTATTAGCAGTCACCCTGTCTCGGAGGAAAACGGCCAAAAGTTTTAAAAAATCGTATTAGATTTTTTTAAGCAAAACATACTATTTGTACCTTTTTTTGGGGCCCCTTCCAAAGTTTAACACTTATTTTCCTGAAAATTACAAAACTAACTGTAATAATGGAGAAGGGCCAAGTTTAAATGTTTTCCCCCACCTTTTCAGCCCCCCATTTTATTTTCAATTGGGACCTTGAGTTCTTCTTTTAAAAGGGTTTGCTAAAAAAATCTTCCTTCTTACTTTTTCATACCCTTTTATGCTCTTTTATTGTTTATCATATTCCCCTTTTTGTTTCCCTTTGCTCACGGGGAAAAAATTTTTGTCTTTCTTTAAAAATTTGTATATTTCAACTTCGAGCCTTTTTGTAGTTGTTTTTGGGTTTGGTTTACTTTTTTTTATTTTTTTTTTTTGTGTGAGCACCATCCTACAAAAGAGTCTTGTTCGGGGTGTGGGTTGTGTTTTTTTTTAATTTTAAAATCTTACCATACTTACATCTGAAAGCTTTTTTAAAAGTGTGTTTAATTTCCAAAACAAAAACCCTAGAGTTTTTAATAATTACTCTATGTGTTTTAAAAATTTGGGAGGGGGGGGGGGAAAAGGGGGGAAAAGGTGGGAGGGGGGAAAGGGGGAGAGGGGGAAGAAAAGGGAGGGGGATGAAGGGGGAGAGAGGGGAAGAGGAGAAGAGATGGAGAGAGGAGAAGAGAGAGAGAGAGAGAGGAGGAGGAGAGGGGAAAAAAGAGAGAAAGAGGGGAAAGAGAGGAAAATAAAAGGGGAGGAGGAAAGAGAGAGGAAAAAAGAGAAAGAGAGGGCGGAAAAGGGAGAGGAGAAAAGAAGAAAAAAAGGGGAGAGAGAAAGAGGGGAGGGGAAAGGGGAGAGGGGAAAGAGAGAAAAAGAGAAAAAAGAAGAAAAAGAGAAAAAAAGAGAGAGAAGAGAGAGGGGGGAAAAGGGAAAAAGAGAGAGGGAGAAAAAAAGGAGAGAGGAGAAAAGAGAGAGAGAGGAAAGGGAGAGAAAGAGAGAGAGAAGAGAGAGGGGGAGAGAGAGAGAGAAAAAGAGAGAGAAAAAGAGAAAAGAGAGAGAAGAAAAGAAAGAGAGAGAGGAAAGAGAGGAGAGAGGAAAGAGAGAGAAAAGGGGAGAGAGAAAGAGGAAGAAAGAGAGAGGAAAGAGAGAGAAAAAAAGAGGGGGGAGAAAAAAGAGAGAGAGAAAGAGGGGGAGAAGAGAAAGAGAGAGAGAAAGAAAAAGGAGAGAAAGGGGAGAAAGAAAGAGAAAGGGAAAAAGGAGGGGAGAGAGGAGGGAGAGGGGAAAGAGAGAGGGGAGGGGGGGAGGGGGAGAGAGAGAGAGAGAAAGAGAGAGAAAAGAGAGAGAGAGAGGAGAGAGAGAGGGGAAAGAGAGAGAAAAGGAGAGAGGAGAGGGGGGAGAGGAGAGGGGAAGAGAGAGAGAGAGAAGGAGGGAAAGAGAGAGAAAGAGGAGAGAGAGAAGGAGAGAGAGAGAGAGAAAAAGAGAGAGAGAAGGAAGATGGAGAGAGAGGGGGAAAGAAGGGGAAAAAGAGGAAAGAGGAGAAAGAGAAAAAGGGAAAAAGGAGGGGAAAGAGTTGAAGGGGGAAATTTTGGAGAGAAAAAAAGAAAAGAGAGAAAAGGAGAGAGTGGGGGGAAAAAAAAGGAAGAGAGGGAGAGAGAAGAGGGGAGAAGGGGAGGGAAGAGGTGAGAGAGGAGAGAGAGCTAAATGGGAGGTGGACACTAAAAGAAAGCTAGCATCAGGTAGGGTAGGCTCCAAAACCTGGTGGTCCCTGGTCAAGGACAGACAAGGTTATCTGCCTGATGAGCTCATTCCACCTCTAAATCGACAGGATGGGACCACCTCTACTAGTAGTCAAGAGAAGGTGGACCTCTTTGCTGAACACTTTGCTACCAAAATGCAAGTTCCTGATCTAGCAAGGGACCCTCCTTGGCTAGCTGCAAGAACTGTGTCAAAACTGTCAGTGGTGACAATAAGGCAGGAGGAGGTGCATTTCCTTCTTAAATCGCTTGACCAAGAAAAGGCTGTGGGCCCAGACAAGTTGAGCCCAAGATTGTTGAGAAGATGTGCAGACCAGTTAGCAGCACCTCTAACTCGCATCTTTCAGCGCTGCCTAGTACAGTGTAAATGGCCCTCTCTATGGAAAGAGGCAAATGTAGTCCCTGTTCACAAAAAGAAGAGCAGAGCAGAAATCAGCAACCACAGACCAGTGTCACTGATGTCAATCACTGGTAAGATCCTTGAGACAATAATCTCAAGACAAATGACAGAGTTTTTTGACTACCACTCACTACCTTGTGATTGCCAATATGGCTTCAGGAAAGATTACTCTGCTGCTGATCTGTTGTTAAACCTCTCCACTAAGTGGCACCAGTCACTGGATGAATCCAAAGTCAGCTGTGTGGTAGCACTGGACATTGCTGGTGCTTTTGACCGGGTGTGGCACCAGGGCCTATTAGTAAAACTTCAAGCACTGGGAATTGCAGGCTCTACGCTATGTCTCCTCAGTGATTACCTTCATGGTAGATCTCTAAGTGTAGTTCTCAATGGAACGGAATCAGCAAAACATCCTATTGGGTCAAGTGTTCCACAAGGAAGCGTGCTTGGACCATTGTTATGGAATGTCTACTTCAACGACCTTCTTCATCTCATCCCAGAATCACATGCATATGCAGATGACTGTACACTGACATTCACTTATCCAAGAGAAGAAATGTCAGCTGCTCTAAGCTATATCAATCACCAGCTAAGAGCTATATCAGCTTGGGGAAACAGATGGCAAGTAACATTTGCACCTGAGAAAACGCAAATGACGATCGTCTCTAGGCACCATGAGGGTAATGCTGGTGCAGTAGTAAGGATGAATGGGAGGGTGTTGGCACCTGGAGAAGAAGTTGATATCCTTGGGGTGAAATCTGACTCCAAACTAACCATGAAGAACCATGTTGTAAATCTTGCAAACAAGGCAGCCAGGAAGCTTACAGCACTTCACCGTTTCACACATCTGCTTGACAGTAGGGGTTGCAAGATTCTGTACGAGGCACAAGTACTCTCAAACCTTGAGTATGTTCCATTTTCTTGGTTTGCCTGCCCCCCCTCTCATCTGCAACTGCTTGACAGAGTGGAGAACAGAGCAAGATGTGTCATCTCTCGCCTGGACCCATCCTGGATAGATCTGTCATTTCAGCAGAGCCTTCAACACAGGAGGGATGTGGGTGGCCTTACTGTTATGTACAAGGCCAATATTGTCAAAGTACCACACTTGGACCCACTTCGAGGACAGCGTGAAACAAGCTTTTATGCCACAAGATGGGCAGAAAGCAGCAACTTCACTCTGGCTGTACCCTTCTCCAGAACATCACTCCATCTGAGATCATATATACCCAGGATGACTTGAGTATGGAACACATTCGTACAGCATAATGATGTCAGCGAGATAACGTCAGTTGATCAAATGAAAATGCTGGCCCACAGATGGCTCCAACTTCATCCTGTTCCCTACTTGTATGTCTCATAACAATAAAAATGCTTTCAAATGAGCTGATGTAGGTAACAGCTCTTAGCTTGCCAATAAAGTTAGGAATCCTTAACCTGTAAATAGCTTGTCAATAAAGCTAGGGATCCTTAACCTTGTCAAATCCTGTGTAAAAAAAAAAAAAAAAAAAGAGAGGGGGGAGGGGTATTAATATTAAAATGTATTTATTAACATAAAAGTGTATTAATATTAAAGAACATCAATATAAATAGTGTTAGTATTAAAGCATATTAATATTTATTATTTTCATTAACACATCGACCATCTCCTACCAAGGCAGGGTGGCCCAAAAAAGAAAAACTTTCATCATCATTCACTCCATCACTGTCTTGCCAGAGGTGCACTTACACTACAGTTATAAAACTGCAACATTAACACCCTTCCTTCAGAGTGCAGACACTGTACTTCCCATCTACAGCATATTAATAAACAGCATTAATATTAGTGTACAGTGGAACCCCGGTTTTCAGCTTTAATCCGTTCCAGAAGGTCGGCTGAAAACCGATTTGTACGAAAACTGAAGTAATATTTCCCATAAGAAATAATGCATGTAAATCCAATTAATCTGTTCCAGACACCCAAAAATATTAAAAAAAAATACATTTTATAGAGAATACCTATAGCTTTACATACAGAAAACAATGAGAAATATATATAAGTGACTAATGAAATTGATAGATGAACATTTAACATCACTTTTACCTTTACTGAAGACTCTTGTTGGGGTATGGAAGAACAAAAGAGTTAGCCTATCCTT